TGGGTGTGGCCTCTGAGGAGGCACAACTCATAACTTCCGGTCTCTCAACCGAGGTTGTTGAGACTATCCTCCATCCAGAGCTCCCTCTATGAGGAAACTGTATTTCTGCTAAGACCGCCAGCCTGACCCAGCTAACTGCCCGTTTGGTACAGCGCTGGAGTTCTTGCAGGCCTGTTTATCCGCAGGGTTGACCCACTCCACCCTAGAAGGCTTTGTGGCGGCCAACCACGCCCCTTTCGGTGGACATTCAGTGGGAAGACTAGATCGTCACTAGATCGTCTACAACTCCCCGTCCCCTCTGGGGACCCAGAAATAGAGGAATTGTTCTTTGTCGAGAATTTGGGTACCACCGACCGATAGGTCAGTGGTGAAAAGATTCTCCGCCCGGCCCTCCTCCGGGGGAGGGAGTGGTGTGCTTCTTTCCGGCTCAGACTGCATTGGTTAAAGCTTATGGGGCTGTCACGTGATGAACGAACGACTCGGAAAAACCCGAAGACTCGAACCAGGTGAACTACTTGACTAATTCCAGTCAGAGCATGTGAGCGAAGCGGAGCGGTGTGACGCTCCGCTATGTTTTCCGCTCTATGGACGTGCGCTCCGCTCAGTCGCTCTAACCGCACAAGCAAGCGCTCTGTTAATATTCCGCTCATGATCACCGTGAACCAATTCCCGCTCAGATCCCACTCCGGCATAACATTTCTCTAGTAGGCCTAATTGTTTACTGTTTGTAACGAAATTCTTGAATTATTGTCTAAAATTAAGCATGGTGATAAATAGCAATTATCATGTTTCAGAGTGAAATTCTTTCATTCTTCTTAATTTTATTAATTGTAATGTATTAATTAAAATTTATTAAATATATGAATCTAACCTTAGCAAACCTACCTAAAATGCAAAAACTGAAAAAGTGTATTTGATTTTCGTTAACTTTATTTCCGTGAAAATAGCTGCAGTTGTTGTGCAATAGAAAGTTCAAAACAGGCTAATTAATACACAAACGCCCACACACACGAGATGAAATGTGTGTAGATCTTTACAAAGTACACCTGGATTATAAAGCCTGTGAAAAGCACACGCAAGATAAAATGCACTTAAAGAACGCTTGGATTATGAACTGACGTCAATGAAAGAAACACACTTTCTAGTGTCAAGTTAAAATAGACCATAACTGCGGGGAACTGTGGTCTATTAAAACGTCTCTTGATGTTTACTGGATTTTAGAATTTACTTTAAGAAACATTAGCTTGGACAAAGTGTCAGGCTTCAGCATTCGCTGTGCCCGAAAACACTCGCTCAGCGCTGGAAGAACCACTGGGGATGCTGGAGATTTTGCGGGAGGGATCCAGCACTGGTTTTCCAAAATCCAAGTGGTGTAGGCTAATATCTTCTGTACTCTGTAGTTCTGTATTTAGGCCTATATACAGCTGTGTGTTAGCTTAGGTCTACAGTTTAACTGAAATTATTTAATAACTACGGAGCTCTGAATATAATTTGAATTAACAATTCGTTTCTACGGCGTCAGCAGGTTTTATTCTTTTTAAAATTAATTTATTATTATTTATGCTCTGAGAGTGACCGACTGAAAGGGAACTAGGGTTACATACGTAACCTGAGACGTTTTCATGGAATGGATTCAGTTGAGGTCTGAACAGATTATGTTTTTGGATTTTAGAAAAAGAAATATTTTAGGGAATTAATAATTTAGAGAATAATTTATTATAATTTATTGTGAATAATGAATGGAGCAGTGGGCTAGTTTCATACATACTGTTACAAAAGCACAATGCATGAACCATTTCATTTTTGCACAAAGACATCAACAAAAAGCAGGTGATATTATATTAACTATATATTAAAGGGGTCATATGATGTTGCTAAAAAGAACATTATTTTGTGTATTTGGTGTAATGAAATGTGTTTATACGGTTTAAGGTACAAAAAACACATTATTTTCCACATACTGTACATAATTTTTTCTCCTCTATGCCCCACCTTTCTGAAACACATCGATTTTTACAAAGCTCATCGGTTTGAAAAGCGAGGTGTGCTCTGATTAGCCAGCTATCCAGTGCGTTGTGATTGGCCGAATACCTCAAGTGTGTGACGGAAATGTTACGCCCCTTACCATACTGTGATGCCCTGTCAGGCCGGAGCGACAAGACAAAAACATTAAAACCCATCATAAACGAGGCATTTGCTGCATCCAGTGGAGACATAATTATGAATTATAATGACTTATACTGTCTTTTTACGCGTTGCACCGCATCACGCCGTGTAAACATAAAACCATGTCTGCATTTGTGATCGGAGAAATGACAAACAACAAGTGCTATTCTACACTGCTCAAAACTCGCGTTTGACTCATCAGTGGCAAATACTTTAAATATAAAAAACGTACTTACAGTCGGTGAGTCAGAACAGCCGGCATTGTAGTCTACTCTCCCAGGATCAGGAAACAGTCGTCCATAAAATGTGCTGCACACATCTGAATATTTGGGTTGAACTGTTCTGGAACAGTGTTGTAAAGACAACTTAACCACTGATTTCTAGTCGTGTCCTCTTTTGGAAGGCCAAACAAAGTCGTTTCACTTTCACAACAAAAACACACAGCATCACACACGGCGGGCTAGAGTGAGCGGAGGCCGGCGGAGTGAGCGGCAACCACATGTGACGACCCCGGGCTGGACTCCGCTTCGTCCACGGTGAAAGCCGATCCGGCAATCCACAGCACTAAGTTGATGTATTTCCTCAGCGACCAGCACGGATCAGCTCTAGGCATGACGAAGTGGATATCGTCCTCTTTTGGAAGATCAAACAAAGTAGTTTCGCTTTCACAACGAAACACAGCGTCTTCACAACATGGCGGCAGCAACAATACTACAGCGAGAATAAAAATTACGCCTTCTTTCTTTGCGTGAACATTTGGGCGGCATTATGCAAATCTTCCCACATCGTGACGTAGACATGTGGGGTGTGTTAGAATGAACCGTTTTAGATAGGCGTGGTTGACTCTTAACTTTTATAAAGAATATATCTTTGGATTTGAGACTTTAGTCTTTGCAACTTTACAGATCTTCTTTATGCACCAAGAGCTTGTAACACTCCAAAGAGAAAGGAAAACTTGAAATCGCATCATATGACCCCTTTAAACTTTGTTACAATGAAACTTAATTATAGGTCATTAAATTCATTAGAAAAAGTCATTCTTTATACAGTTTTTAAAATGCTACTTATCCTAAAATAATTTTATTTGCAAAGTGCTGCGTGATCCTGTGTGCAATGTACTTTTTATCTCTAATTAAGAGTAAAAGTAACACTGCTGAGAGTCCCCAGACTTAATGACTCAATCACATCACACACCACTGCCCTAATCACTCCAGCAGCCCTCCAGTGCACGCTTCCTGCGGCCCGCTCCCTCAACAGAGTGTTCAGACACATTCAGCGTTACACTGATCCACTTAAGGCTAGAAAGGGAAGCAATCAACAGTACTGTAAAAAGCAAAGGCTGGTGGATGGAGAGAGAAGAAGACGGAGAGAGCCTAGTTTCAGAAGTGCAGCATGTGTCTGTGTCTTCTTTAACTAAAGCCCATGTGACAACTGACCAAATTTCCTTAAATTTCATTCCTGCTGAGATGGAAGGAGGGGCAGCGGGAAAGAAAAAGCAGAAGAGAGAGTGAGAGTGAGATCCAGGCTACTGACCTGAAACTAAAGTGACAGAGTATATTTAGCCTGCAGATTGTCTCCTCTCTCCGCTCGCATCTGCCCAACCATACACCAGTGCTCAAATTAAAGTCAGTCTTTTAACAACCAGAGTTCAAGAATCGAGAACAGTCGAATGTTCAATCGCACTAAATGAACAGAACTGATATGATCATTTTTTAAATGGAAAATATTAACCAAAACCTCCTGAGGTGAAAATGGGAATTGGAATATTTAAGGAAAGCTTCAGTTCTGTGATCAGCAGATCTCTAATTTATTGTGGTTAAGGACTGTTAGCCCTAAGCTCATCTTTAAATGAGGAGCATGACAGGCATCGGAATACTGTACAGATGAATGAAAAGCAGATTAATATATTACACTGAAGTATCTGAGCAATCAGTAGAGCCATTCTCTCAGTGAACCAGCGAGCCAGACAGTCTCAAAGTTCAGACAGCCCTCATCAATATGAAATAAGCTTAATCCGGCACTTCCTCCTTAATAAAATGACACCAGCGGGACAAATCTGAGATCTTTGATCCTTCAAAGATGGACGGCAAAGAGGTCACGGTGCTTTCAGGCTGTCAAACTCTTCTGAGGCTTTCTTAAAGAAGCTGTTATGCAGTTCCTCTGAGTGCTTTCCACTTATTATTCACTGCATAAAGGCTCATAAAACTTACAACAACTCAATTTATTAGTTACAGGGCTCTTTCCAATAGTATGCTCCTACATGCAAATCCCAGCATATTTAAATAACTTTGACACCAAAGCGTTAATAGTGATACGGTTAAATAAAGGTCTACATCATTTTTGGAAGTGTCTCAGCTGCCCACCATCTCAGAGGCGCTAGAAGATTAATGTGTTCATAAGGCTAAGACAAGCAGCATGCAAGGGTAAAGCAGAAACAATCTCTCATTTCACGCGCGCACACAGATCTGATCTCAACCTCTCGCTGGCTAATGCTCCTTTGAAATTATAATACCCTGCAAACTATCATCTCTGCATTAAACAGGATGTGGGAGATGAAAGGAAGAGCTGCATATCATTACTGTGGTGTCAGCTAATCACACCCTGCAAGACTGAAAGGAGACAGTGCCATATACTACTAAAATTCTGAGAGCCGATTCCTTTTTCATCAGTTATGAAGAAAATTGAACAATAGTTCCCAGCAGCCTTCCAGAATCAGTCTATGCAGATATGCAGCAATTAACTTCAGTTATCACAGAGCACTGATCTCTCGCATCAAAACAGAGGATAAGGCAAGCGAGACTGCAGATATAATGTCCTGTACATGAACTCAAACATTTATCATTTCACCGAATCATCTCCAGAATTTTAATTAAAGTCTGTGTGACATGTTTCTTTCCACAGAATGTGAAAGCACCACACATATTGTTTTGCAAGCACTTAAAAGTGCATTTGTAGAATAGTAGCTCTCTCCTCTTCCTACAGAGTAACTCTTACTTTCCTACTTCTAACTTACGCAAAGCTAGAAAATTCAGATCCTCCATCCATTACATATACATTGATATTTATGTATAGCTGAGGGGAGGGAATGTTCACTGTACCTTTTCGAAAAGTCTAACATTTCAAAACTCCTGACTCTTTTAATGTAGTGCTGGGTTTGAGCCTATAGACCTGTCTTTAAAATGCTTTCCAACCTGTCTCTGAAAATGGTGTACAGTGGGCTATTTTACCTCGTCCTTGGTGAGTGGTCGGAATCTGGCCTGGTATCTGCTGAGCTCCACATTGAGACGGTGAGCTGTCATCTTCAGCCCATCATTCTCATCCACCAGCTCCTGAGCTTGCTGCCTCAGATTCTGTAACTCAAAGCTCTCACCTATACACACACAACTGCACATAGTTAGATCAGAGCTGATTTATGCAAAACCACACACAACTAATCCAGAATTTTTTTATTTTAAAAACTCCCACCCAGAAATATATACATATATGGGTGTTTCTTCTACTATGGGCACTTTGGGTCTTCTAGACTTTTAGAAATGTATGTACATGTATCATGGGAGAATTATATAAATTAATTTTTTCTTACCTGAACAGGCATGATCAAGCATAATTTCTGGCACATCTCAAAATCACTATTCATTTTATGTTGGAAATTATATCCTAAGGCTAATTTGCCTTAAAGCTAATTTCATTATATATATATATATATATATATATATATATACGTTTATTATTATTATTATTATTTTACATAGTATGTTCAGAAGTTATATTTCTCCTGGTTTTATTTTGCTTTATTTTGTTTTCTGCACACATCAAATGTCTCCTAAATCATCTCTTCACTGACACTGTTGTCTCCTTGGTAACCAGGTAGACAATTTTTTGGGAAAAATGTTACTAGGGGATAAATTGTCGGTTGTGATGGGAATGATGCCACAACTGAAAGACAGCTGTGTGAACATTAAGATTGGGAGCATTAGGATTCAGCATGAAAAACCTTTATTCAAGCACAGCTGACTTATAATAGACCCATGAATTTTGAATAAATGGGCTGCACTCACATTTAGAGGAAGGTCTTCTTCAGGATGCCATTTTAATCATTTTTTATGTTTTTTCATATTTTAGAAAGTCTGAGTCTGGGACAATGGTAAAATAATAAAATCTAAGTATAAAAGGTATTTCGAAAAAACGTCAAATGAATAATGAAGCGATGCTAAACAGTTTTAAAGACAAAAAGTTGAAATCTATTGAATTTAATAAAAATCAACCCTGAGACATAAAATGATTGTAGTATAAGTGTCTACTTTATTAGGTACACGTGTACACCTGCTGGTTAATGCAAATAACTTATCAGATAATGATAGGGCAGCAATCAAAGCATGCAAGCGTTTTCAAAAGTTTCAGAGTTTGTCCAAACCCAAGCACGGATCAGGGAAGAAATGTGATCTAAGTGAATTTGACTGAGGAATTCAGGATTCAGTATCTCAGAAACTGCTGACCTCCCAGTTTCTTGACACTATTCACAAAAAATGGTGTAAAAATATGCCTGAATGTGCAGCTGACAAATCATCAGTAGTTGTGTAATACTATCATATGGGACCAATAACAAGCAAGCCGGCTGTTCTAGAGATCCTACCCAGAATTAGAAAGTTGTACCAAATAAAAGGGCCACTGAGTATGAAAAAAGCACAAGTCTCATTAAAAATGGGTTGTTTAATTGACTTTACAGCTCAGTTGTCAAAAATTACTGCTCAAAACACTGCTTGAAATGAAGTAGGCATATGTTGAAGATTATGCCTATTTGAAATGTAGATTTTGTTCCACAGTACGTTGCTTAAAGGCATAGGTCACCCAAAAATGAAAATTCTGTCATTGTTTACTCTTCCTCATGCTATTCCAAAACCTGTATGTATTTTTTCCCTTAAAAAGGATCATTTATGAAGACTGTGCAAGTAACGCTTAGTGTTCAATGGATGGTGACTGGAGCATTCAAGCTTCGAAAAGGACACAAAACTACCATTAACATTTTATAAAAGCATAATTCAAATGGTCCATACAAGTATAATCCAAAGTCATCTGAGGTCATACAAAAACTGTGATTTTACGGCCCCAGTCTTCATTCATTTTATTACATTATAATGAAAAAGTGGCCAGAATATTCTTCAAACATTCACCTCCCGCAGAAGAGACAAATTCATATGGATATGACAGTAAGTAAATGATGACAGAATTTTCATTTTTGGGGGAACGATCCCTTTAATGTTGGATAGGCTCTGTTAGTGCTGTGGGATGTATTGTAGCGAGTGAGGAGGCACCTGTGGAGTTTCCTCTCTCTGTGTGAGAGCGGCAGAGCTCCTGCCGGAGATGCTCTATGTGCTGACTCTGTTGTAAACATCTCTTCTCCAGCGTCTCTTTCTCTTGGGCCAGAATTTGAGTCTGCTCCCTCAGCTCCTTTACAAGTGCTTCCTGCACCTCTAGCGTACTGCGCAACACTTCACTGGCCTCTGCACCACACAGCACACAGGGCAGGGCAAAACACGGCATAGCCACACACAGAATAAAAACCATAGCACAGAAAAGCAAATACATTACACACGAATATGAAAAGATAATTTTTAACAGTATAAAACAAAACAGCACAACAACACACCACCAACAAGAGCACAAAATGCAAAGACAGGACAGCAGAGAAGAATTGCATTGAAAGAAAACAGCAGGACACAAACAAATGAAAATGTGACAGAAGAGAAATGAAGGAGAAGACAGCAGTATGTAAAGGTTTCACGTGAAGGTAATTTCCTAATCAGACTGATTTTCTTTTTTGGATTTATGATTATGAAAAAAGTGAAAGTGAAAGTGACGTGACATGTGGCCAAGTTTGGTGACCCATACTCGGAATTAGTGCTCTGCATTTATCCCATCCAAAGTGCACACACACAGCAGTGAACACACACACACCGTGAACACACACCCAGAGCAGTGGGCAGCCATTTTTTGCTGCGGTGCCCGGGGAGCAGTTGTGGGTTCGGTGCCTTGCTCAAGAGCACCTCAGTCGTGGTATTGAAGGTGGGAGAGAGCGCTGTACATTCACTCCCCCCACCTACAATCCCTGCTGGTACGAGACTCGTATGATATTAATTCCATTTGATGTAAAACAGTACAACGTGTTTATGACCATCTGTTTAGTCCTAATACACATTAATGAGTCTGGCGCTGTACAGTCTGTTGAGATTCCTCAATATATTCATTCTATTAGTCTGGCTGATCTTAATGTCAGCCTTATCACATTACCACAGATTAAAATACACACTCTGTCTGATACTATATTTTCATGAAAATAAGCAGCATAAACAAAATTAGACACAAACAAGCTTAATATTATTAAATAACTTATAGAACTAATGAGATCTAGTTAATTTGTTTCTTTCATTAGTCTTTGTGCTCTAGTCTTTACCTAGAATTGTCCTGACAATCTAGATAAATCTGGTGGGATGTGTCTGGTTCTAAGCAGTAAAATAGCCAGTAAAACATTTAATTGTTTATTGAACATCTAAATGAAGCATTAAGCCACTCCGGGCCATGCATTACAATTACTTTACCATGACTTTACCAGAAGATTTTAGCTCCAAAATGATTAATTGGAAAGACAAAAAAGCTGGAAAGGTCACAGAGTAGAGTTCATGCCCCCTCACCTGGACTGATGTCTCTCTCTTTCCCTCTCACTGGACTCTCCTTCATCCGTGAGGTCTTCCTTTTTGAAGTATTCACTGATTTGTGAGACTGAGCGCTCCAGTCATCATTTAGCTCTGACAAGAACAAAATGAAAAAACATTTATAAAACAAGGAGGTGAGTGAGGTAGTAGTAGAAAAGTGATAAATTGATTGGGCAAATAAATGAGCAAAATTGTACAACAGAATTAGAGCGTGATAATTAAGTGAGTGAGTAAATGAGTTGTTAATGATGGTAGTCCATCATCTAAATAAAAAAAATAAAAAAAACATTTTATATACCGTTTGGTGAATTTTTTTAAACGTTTTTTTAAAAAGTATCTTGTTCTCACCAAGACTGCATTTATTTGATCAAAAACACAGTAAAAACAGTAACACTGTGAAATATTATTACAATTTAAAATAACTGTTTTCTATTTTAATATATTTTAAAATGTAATTTATTCCTGTTATAGCACATTAGTTTTCAGCAGACATTACTCCAGTCTTTCCAGGTTACATGATCCTTCAGAAATCAAATCAGCATATTAGAATGGTGCTCAAGAAACACTTCTTACTATAATCAGTGCTGAAAATTGCGCTGCTTAATTCTTTGATGAACAGAAGGTCTAATTGAACAGCATTTATTTTAAATATTTTAACAATAATAAAATGTCTTTGATTAGTTCATCCTTGATGAACAATAGTATTCATTTCTTTCAAAAAAAACTTTTGAATGGTAGTGTACATTTTTATTTTTGTGTCAAGAAATGCTTCTGCATATTCAAATATTTATTGAACACAGATATAATGAATGTCTCTTTAATAAACTCAATGCAGTCTTAGCCAACTTCTTTCATGAAGACAGTGTGCTTCTATTATTTTCAGTGATCTTCTATTATTTGGCAACATCTATAAACCTTCCAGTACTCCAGTTTATTTTTAACATCTCCTTATACCATTAATTTTTCACACCAATCTGTCTGCCAAAAAACACATGGCTGGCAACCAACCTCATAAGCCGGGTTTCCATACAAAGTTGCGAATTAACTTGTGCACAAAAGTCGCATAAAACATTTCCATCCGAGTCAAAAAGAACAAAATTGTCACTTTCTGATAAACTGGCACTAAATATCACTAAGAAAAGTGGGAGAAGCCACTATAATAGGTAATAATTTTCATAATAAAATGACTTGTGCCTCAAGAGTGAGCAGATGAAACACAATGAATGCGGTCATTGCTGTCGTGGATGCCTGCTGTTTGGGAACGCAGTCGCATAACAGTTCTGGGAGGCAATAATACAGAAATACTTTGACAACAGACCTTTCTCGGGCATTTCGGATCCTGTGCAGCAAGATTGGTCCGCTGGTTAGTCAGGTTATGCACAAAGTCACATGACTTTCTTGATGCACATGGAAGAATTTATTCAACAAATGCATTTCCATCTCCCATTATTCACATTAACCCTTTTTCGCAAAGACAAAAACCACCTCAAGCGAGCATAACAACTTTTTCACAGGGACGTTTCCATCACTTGTTTCTGATGTGATACCTCAAAATGCATATTAAAACAGGGTGATGGAAACATCATACTACTCTCATACCTTTCATTTGTCTGATTAAACTTGAATCTCACATCTTCCACTCTCCCATCCACAGACAGCTTCAGTGAAATCCTCTAGGCTTCTCACCTGCTTCAATCACTTCCTCGGACTAGTTCTGTTGACACTTCTAAAAGCTGTATCCTTCCCCCCAAACACTAGTCACTTAAACCTGTTGTCGAGTACTTTGTTTCAGAACTCTCTTGCTGGTTCACTTCAAGTCCTTGGAAATCAGAAAACCACCACAAAATGCATGGATCAGGGAAGAAATGGAAGAAAACATACAATGTGCAGAGCCTACTATCATCCCACAATTAGCATATGTGAATCCATCCCAAACAAATCATTTTCCATCCCTCCACTAACCACTTCCCACCCTCTTCCATGCTCTCTGACCGCTGAGGTCTTCATAACCTACTTTGAATGAAATACGGATGTTGACTACTTTGTCAATCAGCTAGCTGACCTTTTCTCAGACCACTTCTCCATTATTTAAGGAATTCATTCAAGCATGAAAAAAAAATCACCCTCATGCAGCTCTAAACCCCTGTTTTTTTCATTTAGCACAAAAGGAGAAATTCGGGAAAAAATTTACAGGTCATTTTATGCATGCAATTTTTAATTAATGGGGAATTAATGCTTTCAAGGATGAATCTTCAGAAAGGATACAAAAGCACCCTAAAGTATCCTAATAACAGTGGTTCATTTAGGTTTGAGTAAAGTTTTCCAAGTCTTCTGAAGTCATACTTGTCACTCCGTGTGACTGTTGTTATTCACTAAAAAATGACTCTAGCTGTCCTTGGTACATTCATTAGAGAAGTTGTGATAATCAGTCTGCAATTTAATCAAAATGAATAGTTTTGTTGTGTTTTAAAATAATTAGCTTGATCTGTTTAAAAAAACTGATCTGAACTGAAAGGATTCATTCACAAATCATGCTGATCCAGCCATGAAAAAATTGACATTCTTTTGCAGTTACACAAAGTAAAGTCATAACGACATGAGGGGACTTGAGTAAATGACAACAGAATTTTTTATTTCTTAACTAAAGAGTGACCCTATCCTGTACATTATTAAGATCTCACTGAAGGAGGGAATTATACGACAGACTGCCATAAAAACTATATTACATCATGTCAAACATCCTTTCTGAAGACATTTTGCTTGACTCTCACAAGGCTTAAAATTTAATATGGAGCTGAAAAGCCCACTTTGTGACTCCTAGTGGAGCTGTATCATCCTTGCTTCTAATCTAGATTTAATTCTCCTTGATCTGTCTGTGTCTTCGGTCTCTAACATTACAAACACAGACAAGATTTTGTCTGCGCCTCTGACATCTCAGACCTAGATCAGACCTCAAGGTCATCCTCACCTCCTCCTACAGCAAATTTCTTCCTTCACTGGAAGTCTCTGTTGCTGTTAAAGGGGACACAGCCATTGTCTGCTGGTGCATAAAAAGCTTGGCAGTAGTCCATTGATCACTTTGCAGCAACTGCCCAGCCCCAGACCTGCTGTTTCATGCTCTATTTCAGAGGGTAAATCCACCCTGCAATCCTCTTCCACTAGGCTAAACTAATGCTGGTCTGCTTGGATCTGCCATTTGACGTCTTGAGTGCAACTGAACACTGCTAATTCCAATAAATGAATATAATGAAACATTTATTAGTAATTTCATATAAACAACATATGAAAAAAACTGTGTATTGCAACACACAAATATATTGGGTATTGAATACAATGTATTGTGAAAATAATGAAACATGAAAAGTAACATTAAAGTAATAGTTCACCTGCAGTTGGTCCCCATTGACTTGCATAGTGTTTTTTTCCATACAATGGAAGTCAATGGGGGACAGCAACTGAAGGTGAACTATCCCTTTAACTCCCACAAGTCATGGCCTTCCTTCTTTTTCTGACAATTAAAAAAACAACATTCGGAAATGTAAAAAAAAAAAAACTTTAAAAACTCATCCATATAATGGCAGTGAATAGCATACAGCTTAAATGTAATCCCATGATCCCATGCTACTATGCTACTTGTGCCATATATTCCAAGTGTTCTGGAAGTGTACGATAGGGTTTGAAGAAAAACAAAAATGACATGTACACAGTGTGGTATAGGACCACAAAACTTAAGTGTCAATTTTTTATACATCATTTATACATCATCTGAAAGTTTAATAAATAAGCTTTCCATTGATGCATAGTTTGTTAGGATAGGACAATATTTGGCCGAGATACAACTATTTGAAAATCTGGAATCTGAGGGTGCAAAAAAATCTAAATACTAAGAAAACTGCCTTTAAAGTTGTCCAAATGAAGTTCTTAGCAATGCATATTACTAATCAAAAATGAAGTTTTGATATATTTATGGTGGAAAACTTCATGGAACATAATCTTTCCTTAATATCCTAATGATTTTTGGCATAAAGGAAAAATTTATAATTTTGACCAATACAATGTATTGCTATTGCTACAAATATACCCCAGCGACTTAAGACTGCTTTTGTGGTCCAGGGTCACATATGTGGTTTGTGTAGTGTTTTTACTAATCTTGATGTATTAAAACAGTGTACCTGTGTGCTTTTCCTTAGCAATCCAAAGTAAACTGTGGCACTAATACGGTCTCATGAATGTGTAGCCGTGCACAGCAGACCAATGGCCAAGGTCAGGATTTTCTTTAAATAATAAATTACATTTCAGTTTGTTTCCCTATTGCATTCAGGCAGAGCACTTGAAAAATATGACACGATTCACATGGGATCATTCTGTGATCACATTTGAAGCTTGTCGCTATTTACTGCCATTAAATGGACAAGCACGGGCAGGGTATTTTTTTTTAATCTCCCTCTCTTCAAAAAAGAAGAGCATAGGGCATTAGAATAACACCAGGGTGAGTAAATAACTACTTTTTTTAAAAGTATTTTTTTTAAGTAAACTATGCCTTTAAGTGTGCAAAGAGTGGACACTTTGTTGTCCTATAATGCCACAGGCATTGAAGAACAAGAAGAGCCATCAGATTTGAAAATTTTAAATTTTAAATTCGGGCAGCTTCAAAGTCTGAGCGTTATCACCACCACAAAACCTGTTCCACATGGTTCAAATAAATTCCACTTGATTTTTGAGTAAATTATTTTTAGATTTTGAACGAATCGAATGCCAACATGACACATGTAGCATGCCTGGTAAAGTGTGCACACTACACACCTTCAGAATGTGCATCATTTGCATTGTGTGTATTCTTTTTTCGTCCAAAAGCAAGAGTTCCACTAACTGGCTTACAAAAAAAATAATTGTCTGCTTAAACAAGTGAAATATATACATATCTTGCATTTGGCAGTGTAATGCACAGTTGATGTCTTTCAACGCTAATAATCGTGTTGCCAACACAGCACATACTGTATACATTAAAAAATTTTAAATAACTAATAGCAATTTCCTCTTTAGGAGTAAGTTTTAAAACGCTTTACTGTCACCACTATATTAACAATAAAAAGAAACAAAATTAATGCAGTGGAGGAAGAGGAGAAGCACGGAATATATCAAGACAAATGTCAAGGTAATTCCAGTCTCTGTCCTCATAGTCATTATGGTTATAGCCTCATCTCTCTCATATCTCATTGCTGACAACAATAAGCTTGTGAGAGGAGCTGAATGAGAAGATGTTTGTTAAACTGGCAGTGGCTTTATTCTGTTTTTTTTCCTTCAGGAAACTTCAATGAGCCTCTCACAAATGTATCACACAGTAACCACTTCATTTGTCTCCAGGCTGTTGAAAGCCGTGCCTGAATAAATTTGACATCAATTAGGTGTTCACATTGTCCTTAATTTGCTCTCTGTCAAAATTAAACAGAAATGATGCTTTTCTTTCAAAGCCTTGAGGATTCCTAAAAAGGGGGCACGTTTCACACTAACTGACAAAAAGATTCTGAAATTAGCACAGGTGACATTGCACATGTCGAGTTCAGCTTTTGTGATTTATAATGTATGGCAGACAGGGGAAGTACCTGGAGATGCCATGCTCCCAGGAGAGCCTGATCCTGGTTGTCGTAGCGATGATGGCTGCTATGGAGACAGAGGGAAGTTAACTGATTAAAGGGTTCTTACTGCAGAATATCAAAGACCACAGACTGAAGGTAGATTGCATTATTAAGTATATCTAATAGTGAAAAGTGCACTGTGCTTGCTCATTAGAGGCAGTTCATCTCAGCAATTTTCCTCATTAAGAGATGAGATTACAGATCCTCTGGTAAAGGTCTCAAAGCACCTACAGGAATGGTAGCATTCAGATCTGACAACACAGAGTTATGAGACAGCAAGGGGCTGGTCAGTGTGCATGTGCGTACGTGTGTCTGCATATTAACCGAGCACAGGTTCACATGGTGTGTGTGTGTGTGTGTGTGTGTGTGTGTGTGTGTGTGAGAATGTACAGATGTAATAGCTGTCATACCAGAGAGCCACATACTGAATAGTGAATCAGAATGGTTATGATAGTCTCTCTTGTCAGAAATAGCTGAGTTTATTAATAAACTCTCTCTCATGTTCCCACCCAGTCTAAACACCTTCCAACTGTCTCTTTCATCTTTTGATTTTCATTCATATTCTTTCACTGATAACAACCTTTGTGCCCTTAACCTCAGCCTTTCATGCCAGGGTCATTTTTCCCCTGTCTTTAGAGAATTTGTTGAGCCCTGGGGCAGAATGACCTTTAGTCCAGAGTCAGACCAATCCACAACATAATTGACGTTCCTACAGCAGTGTTAAAAATTTAGCTTTGAACCCTGAATTAACTTAATCAAAATAATGACTCCAGGTTCTCATTACAGCTGATGTGAAGAGAGAGGTTATCTTACCATTTTAGCTGCTTCTTCCTGAACCACAATTTCCTCTGCAATACAACATTTTATTAATTATAGCCATCAAGCTGCAAAATTGCCAAGGCTCTCAAAGTCAATAAAATTGTTATGAGAGTAAGATGTGAGACATTAATATTTAAAACTGAATATGCAAACTGTTTAAATATTTAAATATTTAAAACTGTCTACTGTTCAAAGGTTTGAGGTCAGAACGATTTTTATTAGAAAATAGAAATGAATACTTTAATTCAGCAAAGATGTATTTAATTGATCAAATGCAACAGCAGTCTTTAAAATTGTTACAAAAGATTTTTTGTTTTGAATAAATACTCTTTTTTAACTTTCTATTCATCAATGACTCCTGAAAAAATTTATATGAGTTCATCACAACATCAAATTAATTTTAGATTGATTCCTTAAGTATCATGTGACACCCAAGACTGAAGTAATGGCTGCTGAAAATTCAGCTTTTCCATCACAGGGATAAATTACATTTTGTATTCAATGTATTCAAAGAGAAAGCAGAGTTTCAGTAATTTCAGCATTTCACTATATTACTATTTTGTTGCATTTTTGATCAAATAAATGCAGCTTTGTTGAGCATAAAAGACTTTCAATATAAATATATTTTAACACTCTTTGTTACTTCTAACCTTCAGTCTGTAGGGGAGACACAATATCAAATGCAGAGTCTTCGATCTCTTCATCAACGTCTGAATTAGTCTCGCCCTGACAGAGAGATTCATTCAGCCAGTTAACACATACACACATACATAATATATTTTAATGAGCATAAATGCAGGGTAGGGGGTGGTTAAATGCCACAAGCTATCAGAAAACTATTGAATCAGATTTTAATTATTTAATTTCTTTATGATCTCAGACTAGGTTTCATATTTAGAGCAGGATTTGAATGAATCAGAAGCGCCACCTCATGGTGAATATTAGTAAATGCATCAAAAGCTTAACAGGACAAAGCACTCCACACACAGACCCAGCCAAACAAACACACACGACTGTACCTTCCTGTGTTTTAATGGCACGGCGTAAACAACATTTATGTCATCAGCTCTGCTCTGTCTCTCAAGGGACTGATATACATGATCTTCATCTCCCTCCACCTCATCACTGTCATCACCTTCGTCATCATCAGAATATCCTGGGGAAGGCACAGAGGGTCTTCCTGAGTCTGGCCAGGTGTCTCTAAGGTGAGAGAGCAAATACATTATTTTACATTTTTAAGCTGACATACTTCAATTGCATAAAATGTGATGACCAGCTAATGCTGTTTAAACCGCTATCTGTAACACGTATCTGTATCATGGAGAGGCATTCAGACCTAAGATTAAACGTGTAAGTAAACTTTGCCTCCTGCTGAACCAACAATGCCTATACACTTACAATCATTGCAACCTGCTGTGTTACCCTGATTATAAGACATTCTGGTGTAATAATAACGATTGTGCTTTCAGACTTACTTAAAGGGTTAGTTTGTGTCATTATAATGTTCTCTCCTCCATGAAACACATAAGGATTACAGAAGACTAAACTAGTTGCTTTCAAACTTCAAAAATGATAATAAAGAAGTATCATAAAAGTGGTCCATATGACTAATTCACTATTTTTCAAGTCATCTGAAGTCATATGATAGCTTTGTGTGACAGGCAGACTGACATTTAACTGATCAGTTCATTGAAAAGATCTGACTACTTATCTCATAAACTCATGAACCCGCCAAGGTGAGAATAACGAGTGAATAACAACTTAAATATGGGTCTGTTCTTCACAAGCTATCGTATGGCTTCAGAAGATTTGGAATATAGAACACAACTCATTTTCAAGTCTTCTCAAGTCACAGTCTTTTACAAGAACTTTATGTTGCTTTTTCACCATTTCTGAGTCCTCATTCACTTTCATACATTGAAAAGGGCACAGTTTTCTTTTTTTAAGAAAAAAAATATTTTGTATTTCATTAAAGAAAGTAAGTCATATGGGTTTAGAATGACTTGAGGGTCAGTATTACAAATTTTCCTTACATTAATATCATTCTGATCACAACATAAAATCATTGTTGTTAATCATGTTCACCATGAAAATTCACTAAAATTTTCATTTCTAGGTGAACTATTCCTCTAAAAAAGTAAAGGAAGACTGGTTTATTTAGGTCAAGGTTTCCCAGACTGTGGTTTGTGAGGGGACGGCAAGGGGATGTGATTAATTAAACCAATTAAATGCTAAAAATGTACAATTAAAATGCATAAATAAGTTTAAATAAAAGCAATCAGGTGCCTGTTTCATAAAACAAGTTGACCAAATAAGCCAGGTTTATTTCAGCTAGTCTGATTATTGTCAGTTGATTTGGTTCAAAATAAGTCAGACTAACTGAAATAAGCCTGGCTTATTTGGTAAACTTGTTTTATGAAACAGGCCCCAGGATAAAACACTTACAAAAATAAATAAATATTTGTTTATCTCCATGTCATGTGATAATTTTTTAACCAACATCAGAGAACCATGAACATGCAGATTACTGAAATATTAACTTTCAGGGGTTCTTTAAGTAAATGTCAAAGGCGGCCCACCCACAAAATAAAAGGTTAGGGATCCCTGATCAAGGTCAATGAAACAGTGCACTATAATACCTGGTATAACGTGCCGTGGCAGCATAGGGCTCAAAGCCAGTTTGGCTGTCTGCACGTGAACGATCACTCTCAGAGTAAGACCTTTGGCGTGGAGGAGGAATGGCAACAGTACGGCCCGTCAGGGAGGAAGATAATATGGCAGCTGCCAAGGCAGACCTGTGACAGTTATCAGAGAGATTACAAGGTTTACAGATTTTTTTTTTAAAAAGTGTAAAGATATTGGAACAATAATCCTAAAACAGCTAAATTGGTTGTATAAAAACATTATGGCAAATGATGAGTGAGATTCTCAAGAGCATAACTGCATTGAGAGATGATGGAGGAGAACAAAAGTGATATGAATGGATAGGTATATGGTAGGGTGACCATGCGTGCCATTTTTCAATATAGAAATCCTTGCCAGGACGCGTCCTGGGAAAATGGCACGTATGGTCACCCTAGTATATGGTATGTGAGTATAACGTTACCTGGGTCTCTCTGGAGAGGGGTTGGGGCTTCGTGGGGGAGGAGTGCGGGGAACAGCAGGTCTGGGGGCAATGGTGGCAGCAGGGATCAAGCCATGAGCTATATTCCGCTAAACAACCACAACAACACACAGGATTACATTTACGACACGACTACATCACAGGATACACATGGTAAAGCAACCCAGTGCCACTGCTAAGAAAATAAATACTGAGGTCTGAATTAATGTGTCTTTTTATAGGTTGCTTAGTAACACAGGCTTTTAGCAGCTAAATTAGGTCACCACAAAATGTAACTTATATTGTTATATTTACGCGATAGAAGACTTACAAATTCTTCCTTCTCTCTTCTTCTAAAGCTGAGGTTGAATTTGGATGACATGGTCCTCAACAAACTTCCTCGTGTTGATGAGGGATTTGACATCAGGATTTATGAAAACCGCGGTCACGACTGCTCATTTCAGAACTATCGCGTCGCAAAGCTATGTTTCAAGAGAGAAACTGACAGAGTTTATAGGGTTTTTATATAAAAAAGTACATTATTTGTTATCGAAATCTTATTAGCTTCAACTCAACTTCACGTAACTAGACGCTTTCCATGAAAACCCTTGAAATATAACAACTCCTCCTATTGGTTCGTTTGTGCAGCTCAACCAATCAGCGTTGCGGTTTAATCCTCTTAGCAACGGCCTCGCGCCGCATCTGAGTGCAGCAGTTCTCCAGCAGAGGGACGTCTCGTCCACTCAAAAAGACCACATACGCTTGGGAAAGTGCTTGAGAAAATAAAGAAGGATGTCTTAGATGCCATTGCATTGTTGATTTTCTGTTGTCTGTTGTCTATTTTATGTCGTTTTCAGTGAAAATAAAATATCGTTTTGGTACTGAGACTAGCAGGCTTTGTGACATTGTTAAGAATCTCAAAGTAAACCATTTTAAAGCCTGCTTGAAACATGAGCCATACTTGAAGAACTAGTCATGATCTTTCACCTTCATGTTGTGCAACAGATTTTGTTGTTGATGTAGTTTTAATTTATGAATCAGTTTGACCCTAAATATTTGAGTTCTTCATATTGCGTTTTAGTACAATGAAGATAATTGTAATGATGAGAGCGCATATGGACAAAAAGTTGTGTTTTCCCCATAACGCTATAGGCCTAATACATTCCTTATTCTACAACAAGTAACTAATCCAATCATTGACATTTAGGCTTAGCATATTGTCTTTTTTTTTAACATGTTATATATTCATCTGAAAGATCAAAGATCATGTATTGAAAGATCAAATATATGAAACCATATATTTCATAATTAAAATATTATGGCATATATAAGTGACACGTCACATGTCTAATTTGTATATAACACATAATTAAAAAGACATATATTACATATATTAATAATTATATACATTCCATATATGACAATAAATGTATTATACATACATAAACATATTTTTGTATGGAGTAGACTTATATGTCAATATATGAAATTGTTGCATTTTCTAATAGGATGCATATATGGATTGGGCATATATAAAACATGTATTTAATATATGTATATTTGATATATGCACATATATTACATTTCCGTATGGGGTGCCTCACAGTTCCACATTTATTTTTACAGTACTCACATTTTATTACTCCATATTACATTATTATTACTGTTGCTATCATCATTTATCTTGCACAAATACACCAGACATGCACTGAAAGTAGTAAAGAGGTCAGCATCACATCTAGTAGAGATTTAACAGTTATTAATCCTGTTGTGTAGGCTACTAACTGTGGAGTCAGCCCTGCTGGAGTGAAACCTTCTATACTTAGTGTCTCATCTTCAAATGACATAGTGTTGATACAAATACACTCACAAGTCTGTGCAATGCTGTGAAACTCTTCCCTGTCCATTTTTGTAATTATTATTACGAATATTTTATATATACAGGTGCATCTCAATAAATTAGAATGTCGTGGAAAAGTTCATTTATTTCAGTAATTCAAATCAAATTGTGAAACTCGTGTATTAAATAAATTCAATGCACACAGACTGAAGTAGTTTAAGTCTTTGGTTCTTTTAATTGTGATGATTTTGGCTCACATTTAATTCTTTGATGGACTAGTATTTAGTTCAATAATATGTCAGCTTCTAACTTTTGTAAGTGGGATAAATGAGTGCTCCCTGTGCTTTTACAAGACTGCTGAAGTGGAGAAAGTGGGTGAGTCATACTAGAAATCACTCTGGTGGAAAGTGTTCCAGTTAAAAGCAGACTTGTTTGGGATATTTACATGATTCCGGTAAAACTCCAGTTCTTGAATCAAAGCAATTGTTGAACAAGTCCTGAGTCAGTGTATTTGTGATGTTCTGTCTCAATGTTCTCCAGCTGAAGAAGATGCAGAGACATACTCTCTTATCTTTCTCTCTCTTTCTCACTCAGACACACTTAACCGCTGTGACATCACTGCTGGTGTTGGTAAGCAATCTCTCTAATAACCCAACCAAAGCCACACCATAAAATTCCCCAGTCTGTGAGTGATTTAAAATCCATTAGTCCACCACACCATTTTCACTGCCCTGATTCACATGCACACAGAGCAAAACACGAATGCCGCTTTTCCTCTCATATGAAGAGAGCAACAGAGTGTGAATTCCTTTCTTTGATTTACTGAAGTTTCAAGCGGTCATTATATTATAGTATTACTGCAGTTTACTTTCTAACAGTGAGATTATTCTCTCTGTTCTGCCCTTCCTTTACATTAAGTTTCACATCTGAATCACAGGGCTGCACAGTTTTAAAATACCCTGCTGCATTTATTGTCAATATTTCATAATAGTACATAATTTGGAAAAAGGAGGAAGAATTAGGGCAAAACAGAGACTATCTGCTTATTCATGCATGACCTGTATTAAGATATAACCACTTGCTTACGTAATCTTACTTTTAACCAGAATTGGCGTGGTTGGGAAGATTACACAGTGAATAAACACAATACCCACTCACTTGCACAATAAAAACAGGCACTGCTTTGACCCCTTATTTTATTTAGATCAAGACTTACATATACAACAAAAGTAGGCAACAATATACATTTCAGACAGACATAACAGTCCAGACATTTCCTTAGACATATCACAATGGTAATCCACATAAAGTGTCGACACAAAAGCAAATAATCTAGAAATCTGCTTTACCTTTTGTAACAAAGTTAGAATTTAGAGCACTGATTCACGATTCTGTTCCCACCCGAAAGAAAAGGACTGTGAACATCACCTTTTCAAAGAATCATTAATATGTAACCTTGCAATGTCAACATTCTCTCGGAACAGTGTTTGCCATTACAATTCTGAATGTGGCACTTGCAGAAACATAAATGGATAAAATACATTCATTGACAATAATAAAGTATTTACAAGCAAGGAGCGGAGATCCACAGTTAAATAAGTTTGTGTCAGTGTAGACTGTGATAAGGCATTTTAAAGGCTTCTGAGAGGCAGTGTTTTGAAAAGTTAAATATTGTCAAAAAGATATGAAAAAACCTTGCCATCTGTACTTTTTGAGCTATACAATGTAAAGAGAAGAACGTACACCAAGTAACAGAAAGAAAGATATGTAACCAAAAACAACCCATGATTATATACACCAGGCTACAGTTTCACAATACAAAACCTAAATACTTCTAATACTTAAAATGAATACATATGTTTATATAGATATTTTTTTCCTCTTTATTTTGCATATAAATAATTTGATTATCAAATGTGTATAAAAATCTACTCTGTAGACAGTGAAATATTCCAACAATGAAGAAGTGCTAGGTAAAACACATGAAACAAAGGTTAAATAAGAATGGCATTTGTATTCACTGCTGTATTTTTATCCTTCTTGCTTGAATTTGGCAATACCTTTAGGAAATGCACAACTATAGAATCCTATATGGTATTTCCCTTCAGTGTATGTAAATACTTGAGTTACACAAAATAATATTACTGTTTGTATAGACATTCCCGGGGCAAAAGCAATTCACTGTCCTCTCCTACATTTTGTTCTTCTACAGTGATTGACAGAGTTACAATTCCATTGCGATTATGCAAGATCATCACAGAACCCTGTTGTATTGGTCTGTATGTCAGCTACAGGCTTTGAGGAGGATGCCTGTCTGTGCCACCAATTAGTGGAATTTTCCAAAAAAATCCTTCATCACACCATTTAACCATTCAATACAAGAATAATCAAACAAACAAATAATAATAATAATAATAAAAAAATACTCTGAGCAGCATACACTGTGTTTTATCTACTGATTCGTTAAAACACAATTTTCTCTTTTAATTTATTAAACCAAACTAATGAAAGAATAAAGGTATAGCTTACACCTGTGTTTATACTGTAGATCTGTGCAAAATGTACATTTTCATCTGTAATTAATTTCAATCCTTCTAAAAATCCCTCTCTCTTTTCTCGTGATATATTGTGTTGATATAAATCCAGTTTTGTGTGTTTAGTAGAGGGCACTTTCATTATATGAGTTGGGATAGGTAGGGCAGGGTCTGTTCCAGGGTCCGTTGTAATCTGCATTGGGCAGACTCAGCGTACTACCGCTCTTCTGCTTGTTCTTGAGACCCCAGCTGAGGAATGATGGTTTTTTTGCTACCTTGCGAGACTTCTTATCCTCATCATCATGTGCCAGGCAGATCATGGAGTAGGTCTTCGGCAGACCGCCGTATGTAGCACTCTTGGTGGGCTGCAGAGGTACAAAGGGATGAGAGGTGATTAAACTCTTAGCAATACTTGATCTGAATCCTCAAATTAAATACTCACTAACCTGACATTTCCACACTAATATAGTTTTCCTTAAGCAAAGAATGAATGCACAAACTGCTCTATCTACAGCAAACTTAAGATCACACTGGCTAAACATACATTGCGAGTACTTGTAAGGGTTTCAGTTACACGGTGACACAAACCTGGATACATTAGGTGAACTGTTTTGTTGATTTAATGAGAATGTAATCCTATTAAGAGTTAATCTTCAGTCTATCATCATTACACACAGTCTATCAACACCCACAAATATTCACAAAAAACAACAGCAAAACACTCAAATGTGAAAAAGCGATTTCACACACCAGACACGGTTCTTACAACCTTGTCAAAAACAGCTTATGAATCCTGACTGACAGAAACATTAAAGATAGAGGTGTGTTCACTGGTGAAAAAGGAGGACAGTTATAATCAGTAATGCTGGGTATAATCGAATGTATATAAAAAAATGAAATGGATGTCACAGGGACATACATTGTGAATACTGTGATGATATTAATGTTTTTTATTTTGTGATTAAAGACTGTGAACTAATTCTTGGTTTTAAAAGCAGTCTCTTATGCTCACCAATGCAGCACTTATTTGATAAAAAAAACATTAATTTTACAATGTAATTTATTCCTGTGAAGACAAATCTGAATTTTCAGCAGCCTTCAGTGTCACATGATCCTTCAGAAATCATTCTAATATACTAATTTAGAAAAAAAGATCAATGTAGAAAACAATTATGCTGCTTAGTTTATGGAATCTGTGACATATTTCTCAGGCTTCTTTGATGAATTAGAAATTTCAAAA